TTATCATAAAGCCAACATTATCTCTTGATAAGCCTTAACAAAATGTCAAGAATTGATACAAAATTTGATAAACAAACATTTAACTTTTAAGAAGCTGAAAAAAAGAAACCTGTATTAATTTAAGGGTCATAGTCATATCATATTAGATCACTTTTTTCGTTTAGCTCACTCAGGTTACATATAAACTTTTTCTGAAACATTACTCTTGTTATATTACTAGTTATTTTTGCATTTAAGTGGCGGCAATGGCGTTGGATGCCGGAGTTTCCCCAGCAACCGGAGGGTTGTCGATTCAAGCCCTGGTTCCGGGTTTTTAATGTTGTTGTGTCCTTGGGCAAGACACTTGACATGGACCTACTGATGGTGGTCAGAGGGCCTGGTGGGGCCTGTGTACGGCGGCCTCACTTCTGTCAGTGAGCCCGGGGCAGTTCTGGCTATAATGTATCTTGCCACCATCAGTGTGTGTGTGAGCATGGTTTAAAGCACTTTGGTCAAGTCTACTGGTTTGAAATAAAGTTAATTATAGGCCAATTAATATTACTCTTTTTGCTCAGTTTGTAAGTAAATGAAGCCTTTTGTCCATATTTACTATAACATTGAGTAAACAGAGGTATGATTCTGTTCATGGGTGCAGGGGGTAAACAAGGAAGTAATGTGGCTCACCCAGTTAGCACCTCCCAGTGAAGTTAGGCATATAAAGAAGAAAAGTCCAGGATCAGTGCTAAACAATATTTAATTCCAAGAGGGAAAGAACTGAAATAGTGCTCAGAATACAGTATGAATGTCGGTGGTCATTGAAGCGGGAGCTAAAACCTGCCGAGGCATTCAGATATCACTGCAGAGTTGATAGATGCTTGAGTACACATCTGATACTGGTTATTAACGCTATTCTTAATCTCTACAGTCTAAGTACAGATTACATTCTAAACATATCATATCATAATTTGATTGATTGATTGAATCCCAATGATTTTTTGCAGCTTTAACAAGAAACTCCACAATACAATAAAAATATTATGGAAACCTCATGTAAATAGTCTTGTGTCTTTTAAGTCTGAATTTTCTGCATTTTACATTTCCATCAAGAAGAGCCATTGTTTTTAAGTTATTTCATCTCAGACAAGAAAGAGCCAGTCTCAGGTAATCCAGTTGTGTGTTTATCCGTCTTTTCAGGTGGACTTTTTCCTGTTGGGTGCATTTACCATCTTGTCATTTCTCCTAGCGTGTCTTCTTGTTTTTAGGGAGGAGGTCGGTGGGTAGTGGGGAAATCATGAAGACGGACGACGCTGTCACACCGGGATTGTGTTTGTCGCAATGCAAGCATTTTCCTCCGCTCTATTATCATTACTATTGCTGATGTTATTGTTACAACAGCCATCTCAGGAAGTTGTAGCGCTGCTGGAGCCGAAAGGCAGAAAAGTGAAATGGGGAAATGGAAACATTGGGATTCAAGAGGCTGAATGTGTGTTGTATAATATCTGCATTTACAGATAATTGGCAGCATGGCGTATGACTGCTGTGCATTCTGTTTTTTTTGTTTTTTTTTTCTACTACAAACATAAAAGAACAATCAAGCTTCGGGAACAATTTTAATTTCCCAAACTGCAAAGGCCATGAGCGGTAATCAAATGCATAGTATCAAATCCAATTTTGTAAAGTTGTAAAAACAAGTTTTAGTTTTGGCATAAACATAATAGTCACAGTTGAGGTTTTACATGTGAAGCCATCTCTCCTCTCTGTCTCATTCGGCCGTCCTTTAGGATGCTGGAGCAGGTGTGATAAATGCAACCGTTTAAATCAAAGCCCCCCTCTTTCCCCCTCCTCATTCCTCTGGGGAGAAATAGGATGCCTCCATGCAGATTGATATCAAGAGGCCCAGCCATCTCCTGAAAGCTCTGACTGATGGTCTGCCTGGATAAAAAATGAACTTTATACCCAACATTCTGGTTATGATTCATCTGTCTCCCTATTCATCCACACAGACCTTCACCACAGTACATGCTCTATGGAAACATTACACTTTATCATATATAGAGTCCTTCTGCCTGCCCACACCCAGAAGATACCAAAATGTTAGCATGTGCAGGGTTAGATGAATTTAGTACATGTTTTTTTTTCCCAGAAGGTGAGCTAAACAAAATATTAAAAGTAGTTCAGTCTCTTTATAAAATTCAGTACTGATTTGATATACACCTGCATTTTGGAGTCCCATGTTATCAGCTGGTGTTAGTCTGCTGTTTTACCAAGTCTACAGGCTGAGCAGCCAACTAAAAGGCCATTTTCAGTGACTAGACCAGTGGATTTATTGTACAGTACATGCAAAGTTTTCTCAGTGTCTGAGATTTCTATATAAAAAGTAAAACACAACAAAAAAAAACTATAATATATCATTATGCCAGTAATGTAGCTGTGAAAGAGATGCGTTTCACTTTTCTAACTGATATACTGAACTTTATAAGCATGTCATTACATATTATTAAGGTACACTTGTAAGATTTAAAATATACTTTAAAATATTTGCACTTAAAACATTGCATGTGTTTATTGGAAGATGTCTTGTTCCGACCTCAAAGATGTGTTCAACCAATGTTCCTACTTGGTCCGTCAGCCCCTCCATACCATCATGAGTGACAGGCAGACAGTGCATAGGGGTCACATTACTCATACTTAGCATTCTGTTCCTCTTCTTTCCTGCACTAACAACATGGTGAAGTGTTTCACTTGGTGCTCCAAACAGGAGAAGGTGTGGGAGGCGTTGTGCAAAAATATAAAACACTAACCAAGCTATGGAATCCTACCAATTTGCTATTTAAAAGTGTAATATATATATATTACACTTTATATACTTTATATATACATACACACAGATAAATCACACTGTAACATTTCACTTAGCATGGATCGAACTTTGACATGGATGCAATTTATGTGGGTATTAAGGTCTTTGTAATTTCTTTTTTTGTAAAAAAACAAAACTCAAGGCTATTGAGTTAACATATAAACTTGTCTTTGGGAAGAGTCACCTTAAATTAGTGAATTCTTTAATCACCACAGCTTCAATTTTCGAAGGGATAGTATAACTGGAGCAGCCTATCACACTAGACACTAGACATGACAGCTATAGATTAGAAAGTAAGGATGACACCAAAAATGTAGATTAAGAACACAACTCCATTGAATATTTGTTAAAGAAAGTTACGTGAGACTATACAGTGCAGTGCGTATTTTAAAGTCAGCCAGAGTATGGATAATCCTGGGGTAGGTCCTCTGTTGCAAAAAAAAGCAGTTTGCTCCAACATTGCACATGATGTAAGCTACTTATGTCACCATGCTTTATTATAGTGACATCATATTATGACCATAGGTACTACTTGAGAGAGCCTGGTATGAGCGGTTGCATATCGATGAGCTGTGGCATGTAACATCTGCACTTGTATCAATCGGTTTCTAGAGCATTTAAAGGAGAACCACCAAAGCTGGCCTCACCCCAAGGTCATCACATGAATTGGGCCAACACAGGGTTGGCAGTTCTATTATTCATTTATTACAACACCCTGGAGAACCAGATATAAGAAATGTTTCCTGCCACCAGAAAGGCTTCAACCAAAAGGTTCTTGCCAAGCACCCTGAATCCACATTAAATCACATGTAAGCAATAGCAGGCCCCTTGCTCATAGAGACTGGTATGTGTTAAAGTTGCCAAGCAGTTTGTGAAAAGAGCCCACACCTCCAAATTGCATATAGGCAAGTTCGTTCTAAACCGGTGTGAGTATTTCAAGCAGCAAGTCTAATGGAAAGAACATTTCTCTCCTTGTTAAAGAGGAACTCTGGCATCATGTTTTGTGAATAATAAAATTAAGAAATTTGAACTGTGGAATTGGTATTACAAGTTATGAGTAAAAAATAAAACTGGTACTCCAAATGTTGCTGACTAGCTCACAATTATTAGTAGACAGCACACATTGCATCATATAGATAGGAGTGCAATGTTAGTGTTAAGTACAAATAATTAGGCAGGGTTGCAATTCCATGTGACTCTGCACCGCAGCTAGCTTTAGTGCATCCTGTGATTATACTGTTAATTAAAATTTTAATAGTATTTTCCTCAACACTATAAGGTTGAAAAATATGGTGAAGTTGAAGAAAGTGGCAAAAAAAAAAACTCCCCACATTCTAAAGCTGAAGAAATGTTGTGGAAATTTGTTACCCTTGGCGGTAGCATCGAGAAAATGATGGCTTGGAAAGCAGTAGAAAAAAATGAGGGTTGTGCTAGAGCACAGTGGCATCATTATTGCCTAAACACTGAAAGTATGTTTTCCAAGATCGCTTTTACTCAGTAGTGATGGGATTCTACCATACTATGCTGGAATAAATAATATTAAATTTGTGAAATTCCCCAGACAAAAGAACTTAAAAGTATGTTCAGACATGCAATACTGATGCATTTCATAACATTTATAACACACCAAATGTCAGCAGTTTGTAGAGCCATTTCAAGGTTCAGTCAATCATCAGTGTTCTGAAGAAACTGAAACCTCAAGAGAGAAAAACAACCTCAAGCCCCAGCAGGAAATGAAACCAGCCAATTTGCTCTGATCAAAAGGTATTAAAATAAAAAAAATAAAAAAAATCTCTAAAAGACTGATTAAAGATCACAAAGTAAACATATATTTAATAATGTTAAGAATATTCAAACATATTTTGAACAAAGGCTAGCTTCCATATAAGCTAAGTGATGGAATTTGTTTCAAATCCATTAATGGAATAGGCATTTATAATTATATTTATCTAAGAGTGAAAATACTCTGCTGGAGATTTTAAATGTCAAGAGTAGAGCACATACCCAAAGTGCAGCCAGGCACTTTAGAAAGAGTATTTTAATATCAACTTCCTCCATAATAGATTTACTATTTCCCCCACTCTGGCTGACACATCCTGGCAGGTCATCAATTGAGATATTCCACTTTGGAAACCAAATAGACATAGATTGAGGTACTTACCCTAATGAGACCTCTGTTCCTGATGTGCTCTTTTGTGAGACTGTATTGAACGGGCACAGTGTATACATGTACCTGCAAAGGAGATGGAAAGCAAAATTCAGTTCCTGAATGAGATGGTCCAGATGGTCTTATTTATATGTCAGACAACTTTTTTTTTTACTTAGAACATGGTTGGTTGATTTCCTCTATTTTAGGACTGATGGAAAGAAAAATGCTGGCATGTGCAAATATAACTGGCAGATTTTAGTCCACCACCATGTTCAGCATGAGTAGAAATGCCAGCTAATATGCATTATAATACAAAGCATTGTGTTCTCGCTGCTGGATGTGTTTGCACATCTGGTTAAAATTTATCTGCAGAAATACTTGATATGAATATTAAAACCCTCTTAAAAATTGGTTTCCTTAAGAATCAATGTATTTTTTGAGAATGTAGCAGTAAGTGGTGAAAAACCACAGCATAATTACCATAACACTGCTATTTCTATCTCTACTTTGCTTGTCTCGAGCCATCCTCCCTGCCCACAAGTTTAAGGAACCATTACCATGATGGCAAGAAAGATTTTGTAACCAGTTCCAAACATATCTGACGTTCCTAGTAAGATCTTGACCCTTTTGTGATAAAACCTTAAAATTATGCCCCAGTGTTTAACTGCTACTTGCCTCGAGCAAAACACCAAAAAGCTCAGGACATATGATAGACCGATCTGTATGTATATAATGTCAACTTACTAAGCAGCTTGCAAAAGATGACTAAATTGCTGGCAATGGTTAGATAATCTTTGACTGAACAGGGAAAGTACATTCTGTGCTTCTCTTGGCTGACGTTTCTGGAGTAAGCTCAAACTCCTCCAAATGAGGACTTACTAAAAGAGAAACCTCTGGAAGCTCACACAAAACTTTCAGTAACTTTAAGAGCTGCTTTCTAAATACTGAGCTGCTACATATGCAGACTTGCCCCACTCTCCATTAGCAAATAAATACAAAAATATACAATGCCTGTCTAAATCCTCAGTCATCCAGGTCATAGCAACCAAAAGCATGCTTGAAACATAGGACACTGGACTCTTGCTTAGTTTTTCTGAAGATGTTTCAGCACCTATCCAGGAGTCTTTATAAATTTTGCCAGCTTAAGCCTGGAACAAGCTGTTATTGGAAAGATGATGTCTTTAGACAGCATGGAGCCAAAGCGACAAAATATACTCTTGTGCCATAAACCATGATAATAGTTTGGGATATTGGGAATAAAGGTACATGCTTTATATTAACGTTATTGTTAATTGGGTTTGGAAGATGAAAGCCTTGCTCTGCAGCTGACTTTGCTCTACAGCACATCGGCCTAAAATACATAGTATCACAAGACACTCCCAAAAAGCTGCACCTTTGCCCCCTGCAGTGCTTTGAGGATAAAGCAACTTTCTCAGGCCTCTTTTTTTCCTCTTTGGGGACTGCTCTCTGACCAGATTGCAGCTGAGAGACACCACTGTGGCCCCATGGCCAGGGGCGAGAACTGCAAATGACCAAGGCTACTGTAAGTGGATCTGGTGGCTGACATCAGAAATCAATTACTGCAAAAACACTTTTTGCAACATTCCTCTTTAAGTTTGAGGAACTTTCAGATGCTTAAAGAGGTGAAGAGAGTGAGCTAGAGGACCTTCCCTAATGTATACCCAGTTTGAACAAGGAACTCTCCTGGTGTGAGCCCGCCATGCTAAGGTGCTAATACTGGAGGAACCCACCCTTTCCAAAACATAAATAGCAGAGATAGAGGTCTGGCACATTTAGGGACAGATTTTCCAGCTAAACAATATGTCATTTTGATGATCTTTGGTAATTTCATGTGGTTACTGTTGAGTAAAGTCAAAGCTAACAAGATGAACCACAGGGTTCTAACTAGTTTGCTAACTAGTTTATTGTTTATAAAGCTAAAACACACTTTTATTTCACTAAGGGGTTGAACACTTATAAAGCATTAACATCCATGGGTTTTATCATATGTATATTCTATTTTGATTACCAAATTATGACCAAAACTGAATTCAGGGGAACCCTCATGTCTGCTAGCTCACAAAGAAGGTAAATAATCAATTAACTAAAGGTTATTGGTTGCTGATTAAGCAATTTTATTAAATGAATGCAATTCATTTAATAAAAAGTTATTTGGCCAAATTATGTTTTAATCACCTCTTGGATTTGCATTCCAATTTAAAAAAAATTAGTTGAAAGCTCATTTGATCACATTCCAAATTCTTCAAGATAAACTTTGGTTCTTAAACATAAAATGTATGCTAAACTTATTTTATCGCATATTGCTCATTAATTATGGTTTTCAACTATGTTTTTCCTTCTTCTTTGCACACTTCAGAGCAATGGCTTAGTGGCTAGTGCAGTGCATTTGGGCTCTGAGAAGCTTGCAAGTACCCGGCTCACCAGGCGCTGCACAGTGGCAGCCCACTGCTCTCCAAGGGGATTGGTTAAATACAGAGTTAATTTCTCCATTGTCAAATCAATTAAGTTCTATTTCCTTTTTCTATTTGTATATTTCTAGTAGCTTAGTTTGGTTGAGTTTCACTAGTTTAGTCAAGAGTTTCTACCTGGAGTTGACTTAGAGCTGAATGATTTTAGGTAATAAATGTATATTTTGAATAGGTCATCACCGAAAGAACGAGATCCCAGATACAAGTGGCCGAAATTAGCTTTCTCTGTAGTGTGTTTGGGCTCTCCTTTAGAGAAAGGGTGAGGAGCTCAGTGACCCTGGGAGGACTAGGAGTACAGACCTCCTGAAGGGATCTGGTTAGGATGCCTCCAGGAGGTCTCCCTGGTGAGTTGTTCTGGGTACGTCCCATTGGGAGGAGACCTAAGGGGGACCCAGGGCACACTGGAGGGACTATGTTTTTTGGCTGGCCTGGTAATGCTTGGGATTCCCAGGGAGAAACAGAAGCTGCTACCCCGCGACCCAAGAAAGCGAAAGAGGATGGATGGATGGATGGATGGATGTAGAATGGAGGTTCTGTTGAATTTTCTATAATTGTGCAGTTATCTATTTGACAATGATTTTAGCTTGATTAACACTGTCATTTTCTGTTCTAATACACAGCTAGTAGATGCTACTAAGAAAAGTATTAGTTTCTTCATGGATCGGTTAACTGCAACATAATCAGATTAAAGAAAAGAACCTAAATTAATTATACAGATACATATACAGATACGCCAGAAACACATTACAAAAAAAAGTGTCACAAACTTCAAAAATTATACCAATGCTCCCTTGCCATGCAGTGTTTTAAACATTTAGCGAATTTATTTATGCATTGAGGTGCTACAAAGACACAAGGAAACATGTTTAACATAAATGAATACAGTAAGATCAATACTTAGAATAAACATGTGTAGGCTGTATTTTTAAAGGGTAACATGGCAATTATTAATTAACAAGAAAAATATACAGTTAGATTAAATATTATACATATGTGCTGAGATGTTTTTTCCTCTATTGGGAACTGTGTCAGTTAGGGACCTGGGCCTTCTAAATAAGGCTAGTAGGAAATGGGAAGGAGCTGATTTTGTGATGTGATGTTCTGTACTTCATTGCCCGCAGTCTCATACCTAAGGGGAGAGTCTGAAACAGCTTGTACCCATGTTTAGAGGGGTCAGCTACAATCCTTTTTACTTGCCTCTCGGTTCTGAAGGTGTACAGTTCCAGAAGAGAATAAAGATTGCACCCCATCACGCTCTCTTCAGAATGGATGATATGCTGCCTCCTGTTCTTGTCCCACGTGGTGACAGATAAATACCAAATGGCAATGGTGGAGGGGAGGATGCACTAAATGATGAAGGAGTATACATGCACCATAGTTGTCTTTGGCAGGCTAAACTTCTTCAAATATCTTCTTTGTGATATTCAGCCCTACTTCAAGATCCTGAACAATGATGATGGAGATCAATCTCCTACGTGTAGACAGACTCTTTCCTCTTAGAGATGAGTCCAGTGAGGTTAGTGTCATCTGCAAACTTCGAGAACTTGACGGACTGGTGACTGGAGGTGCAGCTGAGGAGCAGAGGGGAGAGAAAATAGCCTTGAGGTTAACTGATGGTACTGGAATCTGGGACCTGTTTTCCCGGGTAAACATTCTACTTTCTGTCTGTCAGGATGTCTGGGATCCACCCTTAGATGGATTCAAGCATGCTTAGCTAGGAGAGCTTGTCCAGCAAAAGGTATGGGACGGTGGTAGTGAAACAGTGCTCAAGTCCACAAACAGGATCCAGGCGTAGGTTCCTTGGTAGTCCAGTTTCTGCAGGATGTAGTGAAGAGCCATGTTTATTGCATCATCCATGAACCTGTTGGCTCTTTGTGTGAAATTCAGCAAATTCAGAAGTTGTGACCAATTTAAGGTCGTCCTATGGTCCTTGTTTTTTTGGGGGGGAACAGGTATAATGGTGGAGGCTTTGATACAGGCCGGCACATGCCAAGTCTCCAGTTAAATATGTATATAAATGGAAAAGACATCTGATAAGTACAGTTTTTAATGGTGGATGGGGAAACATGTTCCAGTCCATCTACTTTGCATTGTTTCTGCATCTTAAACAGCCAGAGGGTGTGTTTTTGCAGTTGTACTTTCAGTCACTTTGAGAACAGCAGTTTAGCTTCTAGCACCTCCTACTGTAAACCAGAGTTTGTCATTGTTATATCTCACTGAGCAATCTTCACAAAAGGTGATGTAGAAGGTTACAGCACCTTTGAACCCTTCCAAGATATTGGTAATGGTCCTGAAAAATTCCAGTCAGTGCAGTCCAAACATGCCTGGAGATCCTCTACAGGTTCACTTGTCCAGCTCTTTGATGACTTGACCACAGGCTTACACAGCTTTAATTTTAGCCTGTATGAAGAAATAAGGTGGAGCCTCATGTGATCAGTGTGGCCAAGAGCAGTGTGGGGGATGACATGATAGGCACCACTCAGTGCAGTGAAGTGGTTATTTTGCCAGTAGACATCTCAGGTGCAGCTCTTTATCAAATCACTCTGCCTTGTTTTCTTTTGATCTGTCATGGTTAAATGAGTTCAAATATTTATT